CATAGTTATTATTATTGGCCTTGCGGCTGTTGGCTCAGCACATAAATAATAAAGAATTGAATTGAATTGAATTGAATTATTATTATTATTATTATTATTATTATTATTATTATTATTTGTCGAGTTGGGTGAAACTGAGTCCACTGGATACGCCGGCCACTGTTGAGCCTATTGTACCAGCCTGGAAGATGAATGAGTGTGAAGCATTTAGTGGGATGAGAATTGGCAGGGGAAACCGAAGGACTCGGAGGAAACCTGCTCCAGTGCCACTTTGTCCACCACAGATCCCACAAGACCTGATTTAGGATCGAACTCGGGCCGCCGTCTCCAGAAAGAATCCTCTCGAGGGTTTTCACATACCTAAGTAATGAAGCCGGTTACTTGCTGTATTAACTTGCTGATAACTCTGACGATAATTCCGTTCAAATTCCGTACCTGCCGCACCGTGAATTTAGAAGTTAGGCAGACATGTCAGGACGCGCCATAGCTCAAGCGGTTAGCCGCTGACTTCCCACCGCGGCGGCCCGGCTTCGATCCCGGGTCTGGTCAAGTGGGATTTGTGGTGGACAAAGTGGCGCTGGGGCAGGTTTTCTCCGAGTACTTTGGTTTCCCCTGCCAATCTTCATTCCACCAGTTTCTCCACAATCACCCTCACCTATCATCTGGGGCTGGTACAATAGGCAAGAAGAGGCCGCAGTACAAGGGACTTAGTCCCACCCCACTAACAATAAAAAAAATAATAGATAGACATGTCAGTTACATGAAAACCATTCATGGTAAGTGCCTTGATGATAGATGGAGAAAATCTTCAGCCTGTTTTCAGTTCGAATCTCGGCGGTGTCTAACACAGTCCACTTAACGTGACGGTGTGACTATATTGGTTATTCAGAGTATGAATCTCTCCAGGAAGTGTTGAACATGATCATCACTGATTTGCTTTGTGCCCTACCGTGTTCAGTATTTAAGGGTATAATGATCGAAGGAGCCGGTATAGTTCAGTCGTGAATTAGCGACTGCGCTGTAGCTGCTTAACAGTTACGATCTGTAAGGGTTCAGTAAATCCAATTAAGCAATCGAGATCCCTTCTGTAGTCACTCGCACAAGTGACAATATTATTTGGCGAAGAGCACACATCTTGAAGCTCCTCGTTATGCAGTTTTCTCCTTTTCTATCACTTCGTCCCTCTTCATTCATCTGTAATCTGTCAAGACGACAGGTCCACAGTCTCTTCCAAAACAGTTCCTCCACTGATGCGATCTAGAGCCTTCTCCTTCAAATGAAAATATCCTCTTCTGCCCCCAAGGTCATCCAGCATCTTCTTACGTCTTCTTCCTCGTCTTCTGGTCACTTCTATCCGCTCCTCTATCTTTCCTTCATAACTTCTTTTAGAAGGCAGTTACCGCGTAAGATATGACCAATCCAATTAGCCTTCCGTTTTCTTATTTCGTGTAGGATATTCCTCTGTTCACTGACTCTAATTAACACTTCTTCATTTCTCACATAATCGGTCCAACTGATCTTATCCATCTTTCTCCAACACCATATTTCGAAGCTTTCCAGCTGCGTCCCTCTTAGGGTCGAATATTTTCCGCTGCTACGAAACGTTACACAGCTCTGTCCTTTATGTCTGTCTAGCGTGTACAGTCGTTATGTTCTTGCTGAGGACGAGAGAAGCCACATAGAAGCATAATCTTCGGAATTCCCTTCAATCTATCTTGTACACTTATAATTATTGACATTGGAATGTCTAGTTGGGTCGGGCTGATCCCTCGTCTAAGGAGTCCTACTGACTGTCTGAGATTAAGAAACTGAAGTGAAACGAAGCGTTTCACGGATACCTTATGCTCCTAGTGGGAGCAACAGGAATAGATAGATAGATAGGCAGGCAGGTAGATAGATTAGATAGATAGATAGATAGATAGATAGATAGATAGATAGATAGATAGATAGATAGATAGATAGATAGATAGGCAGCTAGGTAGGCAGGTAGATAGACAGACACTAGAAAGGTCTAGGTTACGGACTGGTTCTACTGAGGGATTTGGATTAGATTACAGGCATGGGAGAAAGAGATTTTTCTCTTCTCCCCAGATCGGCTGTAGCATCCATCCAACCTCCTGTCCAAGGTATCCCGAAGTCTCTGATTTCGGGATTATAGCAGGTAAGGCGCAAAGATGACCACTCCCGGTGGTGTCGAAGCTGAGAATTCGTTGAAATGCAGCCCCCCACTCCATACGTATTCGTGCTATGCTGCTTAATTAAACACAACAACTTGATCTTTTTGCAAGGTACTTGTACTTTGCTACGTTTTGAAGAGATTCTTAACGGTGACTTCAAAAATGCCACGACCCTCCTCATATGCTTCCACTTGCCATACTTTCTCTGTAATTGATAC